ATATAATTTCTCATTGGCAAAATCCAGGCAATTGACAACATACTTTGTTGGAAAGCTATGGGGGAACAGATATTCTGCTACACTGATAAAGGAAGTTTAAAATGGGACAACCACTTCGAAAGGAAATTTCACAAAACTTAGCAGAGCTACACATGCATTTATCTTTTGACATGAAAATCTCACTTTCAGAAATCTTTCCCAAAGACACACTCAAAAATATTAAAATATTGATACAAAAGTATCCATTACAACATTACTTGTTATACCAAAAAACCATAAACAACCTAAATGTCCATCAATAAGGGACTGGTTGAATAAACTAAGGTGTATGTACACCCGTACATGGAGTACTGTGAAACTATAAAGTGAAGAATATGTATCGTTGTATGGAGTAATCTAACTAGACACATTATTTTTTTTTATTTCAGCATATTATGGGGGTACAGATGATTAGGTTATGTATGATGCCCTTGCCCCCCTCCCCCCCAAGTCCGAGCTTCAAGTGTGTCCATTATTAATTTAATAAAAACAAGGTAGAGAAAAGTATGTAGATTACGCTACCAGGTATCTATCTCTTTATCATTCTATCATCATCTGCCTATCCCTTTTTTTTAAAAATGATGGAATTAATTAAGAACTTTTAAAAAATATGGTTATCTATTGGAGATAGAGGAAACATGATAGAGGAATCAAAAACAGAAACTTCTCTGAATAAATCTTGTTTTGCAGATTTGGCTTTGCAACTGCATAAGTATTTTACATAATTATAAAACAAAATCAAATGTTAAGAAAGCCAATTCCTAAAAATCAAGAACAAAATAAAATACATCTGGTTTAGTTAACTATTACCGAATAACAAATTGCCCCAAAACTTAGCAGCTTAAATCAATAAACATGTATTATCTCACAATGTTTCTGAGGGACAAGAATTCAGGAGTGTCTTAGATGAGTGGCTCTCTCATCTAAGCCATGCCTCAAGGTCTCTCATGAGATTTCACTCCAGATGTCATCCAGGGAGGCTTGACCAGGGCTAGAGGATCCACTTCCAAACTCAAACTCACTCATGTGGCTATTGCCAGAGGTCTCCGTTACTTGCTGGCTGTTGCCAAAGGTCTCAGTTTTTGTCCATTTGGGCCTCCTCTAGGGCTGCTCATGGCATGGTAGCTAGCTTCCCAAACAGTGAGTGATCCAAGAGAGAAAAAGAGAGAGAGAGTGCACACCAAATAGGAAGCCACAATATATTTATAGTCCAGTCTCAGAAGTGACATAGCATCACTTCTACAGTATGCTGTTGGTCACATAGACTAATCCTAATTAAATTTGGGGGGATAGGGGACATAAAATAGGAAGCAGGGATCACTGGAGCCACCTTGGAGACTGGTTATCACGTGAACCTAACTATGCTTTAATTGGCAATAAAACCAAACAGAGTGGAACTATTGTAAATTACTTTAAAACATAACGACTTCTCTTGTATGTCCCTGGTGAGATATTTACTGTATGGAAAATATTTTATGAAAACATATCTTTAAATATTTTCAATAAATTTTATGTTGATATTGTTATTCTGTAGTGGGATACAGCATGTGAATAATTACCTTGGTGGTTTTCACATGGATGATGAAAGCTTGGTGATGAGTACATGGAGTTTCATTATACTATTCTCTCTACATGTGCCTGTGTTTGAAGTTTCCATCACTAAAAGTTAAATTGTAAATAAAATATAAATTTTTACAAATATAAATAAAATATTTTGTCAAACAATTCACATTCATTGTATTAATTTGCTTAAAGCATATATTAAACTCACGTATTACCTACAATATCAATTTGAAAATATTCCTTTTTTTCAATTCTATATTTCTTAAAAAATCTTATCAAACCTTTTACCTGCATCTTTCTCATGGCTATCTTCCTTATCACTAACACCCTATTTTGAGCTATTTAACAGGTTTCTAGAACATATCAAGACCTTAGTCTAAGTTGTTTAAGGAATAGAACTTTTCAAATCTGCATTCGATGCTATCTCTGGAAATTTTCCCTCAAGCTCCAGCCACCCACTGCACAATATTAAGACAATTCATCACGTTCACTTGTTTTGGAGGAAAGTGTTCATGACTTCCACAACATAGCCACTTACAATTAGTTTTACTTATAAGCATCTTAGAAACTCGTTACACTTCCAACTCTTGCAAGTTCCCACACCCCGAGAGGAGTTACTAAATCTGTGTTAGATTTCCGTGCTTCATTTGTACCAATTCTTTTAGGCAAATATCACAAAAATAGCATTGAGCAGAGTTACTTTGGGCTGTTGTGTCATTCCCCAAGTAGTATTCTGTGACCCAGTGTAAACCAAATGAAAGAAACCTGTATGTACTATCTGAGATTTTGCAGGTGCTCTGGCAAATCCTAAGGTCAGAAACATGATGAATCTTGATCAAAATTTCCCATTTTATCTTTTTTAGCACTTGGAGACAGTCTTTACTTTTGAGAAACCAACAGCCCAGGGTGATTGACATCTGAAGCCTAGCATGCAATTGGCCTGAACCAATGCACTAAGAGCTCCTTACCATTCTCCAACATAATTCCCCTAGTCTTTCAACAGATTCAGCACTGTTTTTGATGCTAGGCATCAGCAGAGTACAAGACAGGTCCTGGTCCACATGGAGATCATATTATAGGAGAGAAATACACAAACAACAAAAACATAGTTTTAGAATTTACAAAATATTGAAAATAAATGACATCCATTCTTCACAGCATTCCTAGGCATACAATATATTTTCCTCTTTCCATAGGTGAGGCCATAAAATTTTGTCTGTAATGTCTAGGCCAAAAGACCTATGAGGGCAGGGGTCATACCTGTCTTTTTTCAGCTGTATCTATAATGCTAGTGATAAGGGAAATCATACGTTTTGCTGTTTAAGTGAGAGCAAAGGAGAGTAAAGGACACCGTGGCAATGATGAAGTGTTGATAATGTTTCTTTCTTTAGAATACCATCATATAGAAGCATGTCAATTCTCAGAGGCAAAGAAATATGTAGCTAAAAATGGAAATATTTTGTGTTGCAAATAAATATAATATCAATATGTCTGAAAAGCTTAACCAAATATTTTGAAGAGTGAAATTGCTCTGTGGACTGAATGTTGCATCTCTCTCATCATAGGGTAGTAGTGCAAAGTGGGATTCAAATCTTGTCTGCACAGTTTACTAGGGAATAAGTTTTGGACTATTCATTGCTGTATTAAAAACATTTCAATGGCTCCCTATTGTCCTCAGAATAAAGCACAGATGCTAACAAGACTGAAAGTTATTCACTGCCTTTCTCCTCCCTCTCTGCCCGGATTTATCTTTTGCCTTTCCCAAAAGTTAAACTATGCTCTGAAAGTACCCATCTCTCTCCCTGCACAGGCAGGCATGCATCTTTGAAGTTTTCTACATTCAGTTCTCTTTTCCTGTAACCTTTTTTCTTCTCTTCTTCTCCTCCGCTCCACTTATCAGCCTATCCAAATCCAAATCTGATTTACCTTGCAAGCGTAGACTTATGTGTCATTGCCATCAGACCTGGACCACCAAGTCCAGGTCAGGTGGACCTATGGATTGTTCCGAGAGTGGCCCTCACCACCCTTTACTGTACTGCCACGGTGGTTTGCCATGACTCCTCATATCTGCACACTCTGTGATAGCAGGGGCCCAATCTGTCTTGTTCACTGTACCTAGTATCACAGTGCCTAGCCCTGACTAGGTAAGCCATAAATATTTCCTAAATGAAGCCATAAAGTTATTCCTTCCTACCTCATAGTAAGAGTTAAATTAAATGACTTAAGCAAGGCATCCATATGGAGCCCTGTAAAGAGTATGTGCCAAATAAATAACTTTTGTGATTTTTATGTCTATTCCAGAACTCTCTGTCATTCCTGCCTATTCTGCCCACTCTAAATAGCCTCTTGGTCTTTCCTTAAAATGCACATGACCACAAAGCATCTGTAGGTTGCTATCTATACTGATATGTTATTCAAGGTAACTGTCAACTGAGTACAGAACTCAGATTCCAGAGAGTCCTTCTGATCATATCTCCTTTCAATTACTTGATATTAAGAATAACCATATGTCTCGATTTGTGACCAGGATTTTGTTTTAATCAGATATGGTAAGGTGACAGACATGGAGATAACTGCCTGTGAGAGAAGAGTTGATGACACATGTTTCCCAGTAGAAGAGGCCATGTCACCCCGTGCAGGGCCACATGGGCAAGCACCAAGTCTGGTCTGAAGGCAGAAGAGGACTGGGAAGGGGAAAACACAGGCCATGACCTTATGATTGTGGGGTTTCCATGGGAAAGGCAAGGCAGGGTAGGGTAAGCAGCTTGGGGTGGCTAGTTTGAGGCTTTGGGGCATAGGGGCTGTCCCTAGTTGTCTGGAACCTGGTCCTGGGTTGATTTAGGGAAAGAGAGAATTTGCTTGGTGTGTGTATCATATAAAGAAGGCGGTTGGGGTTTCTGCCCCTCCTGAACCTACTAATTAAAACCGCCTAAGAATACCCTTACCTCTATTAAGAACTCCACATTTGCCTACAAACACCTTATGTTCTACGTATCCTTTTGTCTTCATGCTCACACAAGACAGTATCTAACTGTAAATATATTTTTCAAACATGTGTTACATGCATAATGCTGAAATTGTTGTTGAGGAAAACTTTCTTCATTGGGGATTCGATGACTCAATGACTTCATGGGCTGAAGTTCATTTAGAACTGGAAATGTCTTTATAGGAATTGGTTGGCTCACTCCTATTCTCCCTTCTTTCCTCTTTTTCTTCTCTTTTCCCTCTTCTGCTCCATGCTTCCATTTGTCTTTTGTTTCTTTTTTTTAATAGTTTAATTTTTAAATGTTATGGGTACATAGTAGTTGTATATCTTTATAGGGTACATGTGATGTTTTGATACAGGCATATAATGTGAATTAATCAAATCAGGGTAATTGGGGTATCCGTCAACTCAGGCATTTATCATTTCAATTCCCATTCAGGCAAATGGCCATTGCAGCTCTGTACCAACGGGAGACCAGTCCCTATCCTATGTGCATGGCCTCCCCAGGCGAAGGCTTAGAGACTGGTCTTTGGAACAGATGGTAAGCAGAGGCTCCAACCAACCTGAGGTGTGTACACTAAGTTGTTGAGTTGTTTTCTATTGTGGATGAGGGGTTATTATTTTTTGACTGTATATTTTGATGTGGTGTAGATGATAAGACAGTCCGAGGATGGACTGATGGACACCAGACTCTGTATGTCCAGTCGGTGTTCCAGAAAGCTTCCCTGGGGAGTTCACAGGCAAACCCAAAATATCTCAACTGAACTCCTAATCTCCCCCTACCCACCTTCTTCCTCTTCTAGGGTTCCTAAGCTCAGGAAGGACCACTGCCCCCCTCTCCCCAGGTTAACTCAGTTAGGACCTGGGCATCATCTTTTATTAGCCCCACCAGCACTAAACTCCCAAATCCAGTGGGCCTCTAAGATTCGTTTTCTAAATTCTCATACCATTTCAAAAAAGTTACTTTGTAAAAGACAGATGATATACACTAAAGCGCCTTGACCAGAGTATGTACTCTGAAAAAATGTGCTTTCTTTATTCTTCTGGAGGAGGAGATCTGAGACATCGTAAGCTCATGAATGCACCACCAGACTAAATCCTCACCTTCAGTGTCACCAACTTACCCTGTTCTAGGCCAGGCCTGACAGTGATGCTCCGACACCAGCCCCAATACACTTCTGCCTCCCTGCTTTGGTCTTTAGCCGTCTTGTTGTAGTGCCCTGTTCTTTGTTTTTCCTTGTTGTGTTAGGATGTTGGCCCAAGATCGAGTGGGACAAGAAAAGAAGACACTTTTCTTCTTGCCTTGGTCAGAAGAGAGCTCAAGTCACATCCTTTGAGTTCCAGCTTATTAGATAAGCTTCAGAAAGAGCTGCAGATCCTGGACGCCATCTCTTCAGGATGTCTTCTCCAATCTCAGCTGAGCCGCCTCTTCTTAAGGCATGGAGTCCCTCTCCAGTTACCAACAGTCAAGATCCTTTGCCAGAGATTTTCTAGGAGGGGCTCTCCTGAAATGGTATAGCCATCTTGCCATGTTAAGTGTGGGTTCTTTTTGTTTCTATTACTTGCACCTGCCAGGGTAATAGAATTAAGAGGCTGCTCCTTTCTTGAAAATGACCTTTACTATTGACCCCTAGGATAAAAAGCTTATTTGTATTCATATGTGGAAATTACTAATTAGAATAGACTAGAATAGAAAATAGATTTATTTAGGTCCACCACGGCCCTCACATGGGCAACAGAGTGAGACCGTCTCAAAAAAAAAAAAAAAAAAACTAACAACAACAACAAAAGAGAGATTTATTTAGGTCTCGTAGCTCTGTTGAATTTCTTTTTAAAGGACTTTCCTGTCCCAACTGTCATTGTCTTCTCTTAACACATATTAGGTAGTTACAGAATTGAGATAATGGGCCCATTTGGGTCTATCCAGGAGCTGGCTCAGTCTGTGGGCCCCGAGGTAAGAATGGAGAACTGGACTAAGATCTCCTATGTGTCATCACAGTTTCCTAGAGAGTTAGAGGTGGGAGGTGTCATTGAAATACAATTCACCACCACCATTTTACTGATAAAGAAACTGAGGCCAAGAGATTGTCAAGGAACTTGCTGAGGGCACCCAGGGAATTAATGGCAGATCTGAGGCTGAGACACAAGTTCCCCAATGACAAGGCCAGGGATCTTTGGGCACTGTACTTCCCAACCTCAATCTATGGCTGAATACAAAGTGTGGTCCAAGTGTAACCAAATTTAGGGAGCCAGAGGAAAATACCCTAAAACAGAAAGAAGTCATAACAAAGGGCAAATCATGAGTGAGCAGGTATCATAGCAAGACAATAGACAGAGTACACGAACCTCAAAAAAGAAGGCCTGGGCTTTAATTCTAATTCCACTAGCATTAGGTCTGTGATTTGGGACATACTCCACTTAATTTCCCTGATGCCTCAGTGATCATACCTGGAAAACCAGGCCAAAAAAACCTCACAGACACAGTCTCAGGATTTAGTAATCTGATAAATGCAAACTAGTGGAATTAGTTGTGTATTTATGAGAAGTATTTAGCAATACAATGTCAACTTATTAGTGCAACCTATATGAATCTTCAGTTCAGCCAAACTTTCTGGCCTGAGACCTAGTTTCTACCAGGGACCCTCTGTAGCCTCCATCCCCCACTTCTCCCCCTCCACTACCCTGGACCTGTCTGCCCACCAGAGACCCTACAATTTCATCCAGCCCAGCCATGGAAATGGATGACACTGCTTCAGTCCTTTCCAAGGTAGAAAAATGGTCTTGGAATTTTTCACCTAGCCAAATAAATTCTTGTCTTCATATTATCTGAATATATCGGCTGAATACATCTACATATATCTGAATATATGTCTGCTGAATACACCTAATGTATAATAAATATATAAGCAATGTGAGAAAGAATGAGAAAGAGAGAGAGGGACAGAGAGACAGGCTATAGGTTGAGTTATGCTACAGTTAGCAACCCCAAAATTTTAGTGGCTTAAAACAACAAAAGTTTATTTTTCATTTATATTGTATTTCCATAGAGTCAGCCACAGGCCCTTCTCAGTACTGTAGTTATCTTAGCTCCAGGACTCAGGCTGATGAAACTGCTACTCTAGGATATTTTGGGACATGATGGCAGAGAGGAAAAAAGAGAGCTCTGAAGGGTCTTATGTCAGCAGTTTATCCTAAACCCAGAAGTGGTGTGTATCACTTCTGCTCACAAATCATTGGCCAGAACTGGTCACATGACCCATACCCAACCACAGGGCAACCAGGAAGTCCGATTTTACCCCCTGTCTACCAGGGAGAATAATAGGAATATTTGGTATAAAGCATTAGTGATTGTGAGGCTGTATTTTTAAAGTGGTTTTTAAAAGTTTTAATGGTAAAAATTTTCCAAATACACTTCTATTTCAGTGGGCCTCTTTCTCTTACATGTAAATTAATGAGGATGCTTTATTTTCTATTTAATTTTCAGGTGAATTATGGAAAGCTACTCTTGTTTTTAAAAGGTGCAGTTTCAGATAATCCACAGCAAAGCAAAACAGTTGTAGACAGCAATCTGAAGAAAACTGAGAGTATCAGCAATCACAGCCAAAGGTATTTTTCTCCCTTTTGTGGGCAGATTGTTTCTAGATGTCCTAGTCAGTTTGGACTGCTATAAAAAAAAGTACCATAGACAGGGTGGCTTATAAAGAACAGAAATTTATATCTCACAGTTCTAGAGGCTGAAAGTCCGAGATCAGAGTGCCAGCATGCTGGCGAGGGCTCTCTTCTGGGTTGCAGACTGCCGACTTCTTGCTCTGTCTTCACGTGGCAGCAAGAGAGCAAGCTAGCTGTCTGGCCTCTCCTTATCAGGGCACTGCTGTGGTTCGAATGTGTCCCCCAAAGTCCATGTGTTGGGAGATGGAACCTAATAAGAGGTGCTTAGCTCATAGGGCACTACCTTTATGAGTAGGTAAATGTCATTACCAAGAAAGTGTGTTTGTTATAAAAACAGGTTCAGTTCTTGCTCTTGCCCTCTCTTGCTCTTCCACTTTCCACCATGGGATGAAGCAGCAAAAAGGCCCTCACCAGATGTGGGCCCCTCAACCTTGGACTTCCCATCCTCCAGAACTGTAAGAAATAAATCTCTATTTTTTATAAATTACCCATTCTTGGGTATTCTGTTATAGTAGCACAAAATAAACTGACCCAGGCATTAATGTCACTCATGAGGGCTATACCCTCATGACTAGTCACCTCCCAAACCACCACCCTGCCTTCTAATACCATCACATGGGGATTAGGGTTTCAACATATGAACTTCAGTGCAAAGGGAGACAAACATTTAATCTGTAGCACTAGATTCTAGAGTTGGCAGGGATCTGGGAGGCATTCGCTTTAAAACCTCACCCAATGCAGAATCACTTTGCTCTTCACCAACACTTGGCTTATGCTTAGAGTTCTCTCTCTCTCTCTCTCTCTCTCTCTCTCTCTCTCTCTCGTACACGGGCCAGCATGGAAAGTTATTTGCAGCACTTGCATATGTTTCTTAACATCAAGCATGTGTCTTTTTATGAAGTTGCTATGTGAAAATGAAAAAACCTCATTACGAAATAAGAAATGATTATATACGAGTGTAGAACTCATCTATAAAGTGTGATTTCAGAAATATGTTCAGTCAGTGAACTCCTGGGTTATAGGCACTAAGAAAGAAAGGTTTGAGGTACAAGAATCAGTAATTCCTTCGTATAATCACAAGGGAAAGAAATGACTCAGAATAAAAATAGGATGTAAGGAATATCATTAGAGATGAAGCACAGTGATGTATGATATTCTTCATGTTCACCAAGAAAAGTGACAAATGACAGTGGTTACGAGCATAGTCTCTATTGCAGAGCCCTGGGCTTAACTCTTATCTCTGCCACTTAGTGGCTAAGTGACCTTGGCATTTCACTTAACCTCTCTGTGCTTCCATTCTCTAACTATAAAATGGGGATAATGGGCTTCACTTCACTTCATTGATTTGTAAGAGTAACTGAGTTAATAGATGCAAAATTCTTAAAAATAGTGCCTGTACATAGTAAGTGCTATATAAATGTTGTTATTATTTTTAAACTATCCTTCCAAAAAACCCTCTTTTCAGTTACAAATAATGTGACATAGTGATTAAGAGCTATGGCATTAGAGTTATATGCCTCCCTCCAGGAAAAAGGTAGAATTTCTTGGAAAAATATCCCTGGGCCAAGTGCTTGACTTGATTCCTTTCTACAGTGTGCCCCTTTTGACTTTGATACTTCATTCAACAAACATTTATTGAATATAAGCTGCTTGCCAGGCCCACTTTCCTGGACAGAATGAATTGCACTGTTGGCAAAGCCCAGTCTCTCTTTCTAGGGCTCTTAGTACAAAGAAAATGATACTGCCATGTGAGTACTCCAGTCAAATGTCACTCTGGGAGCAACTGTCCTACTGAGAGCCATAAAGGCCTAGAAATTTTTACTAATCAGCCACCGCCCTTCACATAATACAGATCATGAAATATTGGCCCTGATAGGTGAACAGAGCCACTCAGTGGCAGGTATGCTCTTATGAGTCCTAGACAGGAAACCTTTGCTGATCCCTAGACTAGGTTATAGCTCTTTGTTATCTAGCCCCATAGTCACTCCCCTCCACAGCAGTCATTGTATTTGTAATTATTTATTTAATATTTGAGGTTGGGAATGGTGTCTGTCCTGGCCAGCTCTGGGCCTAACATACTTCCTGGCATACGAGGGATGCTCAATAAATATTTTGAAATGGAATTGGCACCCCAATTATCTAAAGAGCTCACATCACTTGCAGGGACACCTGGATATCTCCTCTATAAAAAAGGTGCATAAAGAGATCATTTTGACCTCATCAGAGAACATGCTGCTTTATACAAACCAGACAGTGTATTTGTAGAAATGCAGGACCGATGGCCTGTAATAAAGCTAGGCTCTTTGTTAGTTAATGTGCTGCTCAGAAAAATCCCCTCCCTATATCTGTCAGGTAGAGCCTAATAGGGTAGCTCTGTGATGTTTTAAAAGGTTGCAACATCGCCAGTGGCAGCAAGGGTGGCAACAGCTCTCATCTAAGTTAGACCAGATGAAATGAACTCCTGCAACAGACTTTCTAAGAAACCCCGCCAGCTGCAGTAAATGGGTTCCATACGACACCTGCCCATACAGTACTCAGTGTACTGAACCAGGGGCCAAAGCCTCATGAGTTTCTGCCCCCCAGGAACTGGCATTGCAAGAAAAGAGGAAGGAAAACTTCTGATTCAAATCTGGGACAGAGACATCTGATTGGCAGAGTCTGGGTCATGTGCCCCAGCAGCAAAGAGAGGCTGGTAAAGAAAATACCTGGCATTCTGCTGCAGCCACAGGGGGACTGTCTCATGAGCTGGAGAACTCTTTGGAAATGGGAAAGGAATGCAGAAGCTGGGGACCAAAGTAAAGACACATATCCGTTATCCCTTCCCTGTACCAAACTTTTGGAAAATATTATATATTATTAAGTGATTCAGAATAGTATAATTTGGGGCCAAAGCTTCTGTAAGAATCACAGAGCCAAAAAAAAAAAAAAGAAGAAGAAAGAAAGAAAGAGAAGAATGTGACCTTAAAAAAAGTTATATATGTCTGAAACTAATCAATTCCAGATACTGTACAACATCTCTAGGGAATAGTAAGGGACAAAACAGACTTGGCCTCATAGAGCAGTCTACTAGGGAAGTCAGACCTTAAACAATAACCAAGTAGATAGAGATGTGATTACAATCATAGGGAGACCTATTAAGGAGAGAACAGGGTACTATGAAAGAATATATCAATAGGGGTATGTTAGAACCAGACATGAGGGCCAATTATGCACACCTCTTCCCAACTCCTTACAGAGATGTCACATTTGAAATCAGCCATGGTAGGAGTATTTACACCATGGAAATTGGCAATGCAACAAATTAGAGCTTTATCTTGGAGAGGAGTGCTGGTTGTTAAAGATTTACCAGCACACCACTGAAAGGAAACCAATTTAGATGGGTAGAGGTTGGGGGAAGTCATAGACTGGACCTCTGGGGAATTTCGCATTTAGGTTGAAGCAGTGGAAAATAGGGAAACCATCACAGAGGAAACAATAGTTCAGCTGGATGTGGAGGGACAAATAAATTTGACTGTTAAATGAGTAAACATTTCAAATTAGTTTCATAAAATAAATGATGATAACATTTTTTCACTCTGTTGTTTTTTATCTATTATTTAAAGTAACAAGCCAGTTAGAAAAACCATTTTAATAATTACATACATTTCCATGCCAGAATGTAAGTAAATAATTACTCCCAAACATTGCTGGGTTTTCGGATATGAAAAGCAGAGTCAAGGTTAATGCAGGAAATTCACCTGATTTGGGATTTCTTCCTACATAAGTTCTCTGGTTACAGGGTTCTGGCAAGATCTGTTTTGCCTTTCTTTGCTTTGCTTTGCTTGTGGCAATGGACAGTTTTAAAATTTTGATTTTCCATTGATAATTGTTAAGTTTAATAAAAATAAGATCAAGCAGGTAAAAGTAAACCACTATAATTATTTTTTTTTTCTCTCAACCTGGAAAAAAAAAGCTAGAAAGATAAAGGCTTTTGGTCTATGTTGTAGTGAAATTGGTTGTTGCCTCCTGGGGAAGAAACTGTAGAGCTCACTCAGATGGAACAGATTTGAGTTAATCTGTGAAATTTCCACATGCAGTCCCATGGCCAGGTTACCAAGACTGAGAAGGCCTTAGTGAGTGGGTTCTCTGGTTCCACAGTGTATAGCAGAGTTGAGAGATATAGCATGAAAACATGCAGCTGCTTTGAGTGGATCGTCTTCTCATAGCCTCTCCCCTGCCCCTGCAATCAGTACTGCACCTCAAGACTCCAGCCCACAGTCAGAAGTGAACAAGAGCCTCTTGGAGATTTTGAAGATGGCACTAAAGACGACCAATGGCAAACTCAACACAGAGAACCTCAATCTGAGTTTTCGAAAAGAAGATCGCTCATTCTCTGGCTGCCTCCCTCCACCCAAGGTAACAACAATTAGATTTCAGATTTGTTCCTCTCTAAAAGGCTACTTCAGGGCATTGGGTCTATAGTAATAAGGCACAGTAATGATCTGTATTCTGCCTGTGCATTGCATTACACAATTGTTTGTTTTCTGTGCCTGAGAGGAGAAAAACAAAATAGAAAAGGAATTGTGAAATGTGCAGGAATTGGGAAACTGGTCCAGGAATTACTTATATTGGGCTATGTTTTATGTTAAAAACAAAGATTATGGCAATATCCAAATAATATTTTGCAATGGAAAACAAGTATTTTTCCAAGGCCAAATGTTCATTTCCAACACACTGTCCCAGCTTCCAATGAGATCAACGTGTGGTATCCCATTCCTTAGGAACATCAAATCCTAAGGACTGATATAATTTATTGCTGATAGAGGTTGGCATGCTGTTTTGGAGCATCCATTAACAGTGTAGATGTGTTTCATGGAAGAGGGTCGAGAACCATATTAATTCATGGATTTTCTGTAGCCAAACAAACCCAATTATAAGGCTAGGCTACCTTGGATACAGGTGAAATAACAATTACCACTATTACTATAACTCCATTAACAATACCTCATTGCCACTATAATTTATTGAGTTCTTACTAAGTGCCAAGCACTGTGCTAATTTTGTGCAATCACCTGTGCAAAGGCAAGACTTATGTGTGTATGTGCATGTCTGTGAGTATTGTACATGCAAGCATGTTTCACAAGAAAGACAGAAAGAACACTGAGGGAGAGTCTACATGTCACAAGTGCTCTTTACTATGTTCATGAGAAGATCTATGGAACAGACTAAGAAGCAGCAATTCTTGGTTAGACTACAAACCACATAACAAAATGGTGAAGCTTGAATGTTCTGAGATGACACTCATAGAACGGAACATACACAACTTGAAAATAAAAAATATATTTACTAAACCTTCTTGCATCTTAGATTTTCAACTGGAAGAACTTAGTTCTAAATATCTACCTCCTGTGTTTATTGTGAGGATTAAGTGAGATAAATATGTGAAGGTACTTAGAATACTATCTGATTTATAAGACCTCACTAAATGTTACTTTCCTATCGTTCTTATAAAAAAAAAATCAATGTGAAATTCTCATTCCAAAACAGCCTAAGGGAGGAGAATCCCACGGTCTAGTGATGGCCACCTAGAGCACTGGCTATCAGGGCAGACCTTGCATGTTCTTTCCCCCATGGATGGTCCTAAAAGCCTAACTTTGTGGTTCAGATCCAAGTATATGGGGCACATTTTGCTTGAAGCTGGTCTGCCTTTTGTGAGCCATCTGGCATCTCTTAAGACATCTGGAACTCACTCAAAGTATATTACAGTTCTGGGAGGCATGTAAAATAGAATTTTGTTTCCACAGAACATGAGGCAAATTGAGGCCCAAGGGATATTGGATGCAGGAAGCAGGAATAATCATACCCCACCTACCTTGCTTCTGGACACAGGACTTCAGAGTGGACTGGGAAAGGCAATGTCTGAGTTAGAAGGGTTTTTTTTAATTGTTGTTTTTTGTTTTGGGTGTTTTCTTTGACCAAGAGCTCTTAATTTCCTTGGGGTGCAAGAAAGAGAATCACAGAACTTCTTGATTTCCCCATGAAAGTTATACACTCTCTCTCTCCATAAAAACAAAAAATAATAAAAAAAAAATTAAGCACATGTACACAGCCACCAATTCGGAGGGTTTACAGATAGATCATGTATAGCTTCCAAGATAAATAAATGCAGTCTTAAAGGATAATCTATGGGTCTTGTCACTCAAATCAATGGAATTTTGACCATTCACAAAGAACGGGATAGAAACATATCAAATATCTGTCATCTTCATTCTGTGGACTCAGTCATCCTGTTCCTCTAGCATGTCTTTGATGCAATGATGGCCTCTGACATAAATTTATTTATTCACTACCCTGACCATTACCCACGTCAGGTATAGACTCAACAGGGCTGTAGAACCTGAGAAATTCCTAGGCATACAGGCTCAGTTTAACCCCTTCATACATAATCTACGTTCTTCACCTCTTGAACTCATCTTTTTTCTGTTTCACTTCACAAACCCCTCCCAAACTGCTCCCAGATCTCCCAAAGAGAGTTAGCTAGGACACATGCTGCTCTACCTCTAATTACTCTTATTCATTTTCATGCAGCTTCCTAATTATCACTTGGAGGGAGTTTCATTGCTGAGATAACTGGGGTTTGTGAATGTGAAGTTCATTCTCGTGGCAAGACTTTAGCTACACTAGTTTAGTGAACCAGGACTGTAAAACCTCTGCAAGACCTTCTTCTGCAGTTTGTTGGGCTTCCTTTTCGTATTTAGTTGTCTCTATAGCTGTCCACTCTGCCCTAAAACTACAAGAAAACATTTCTGCTAACTTTGAATCATTCCCCTCCTCCACTGCAATAGCTATCTATCTGATCCATATGACACATTTAATCTATTCTTACATTTGACATAATAATGACGCAACGTGTTCTGGGCATGTGATAGGCACTGAGGACAACAGACTTCGATGATTGTGGTTCCTGATTTCTCCAGGAGCTCAGGGGAAAGGCATCGTTTTAAACATGTCATCATAATTCTGGGTGACAATGCAATGATGACAGTAACTTTGAACACAGAGAAGGAACACCAAGGTAGCCTATCTTGAAAGCTCTCCAGAGAAGATGAGGCAAACACTGAATCTTAGCAGACAGACAAGTTTGGCAAAGAAGGGGAAGGGGTGCGCAGGAACCTGGGAAGAGATGGAAAAGGCATTCTAGGTAAAAGCAACAACGTGAAACCGCACTGACATGAGCGAGAGCATGGCTAATTCAGGAAACAGTAAGTCCCTGTTCAAGTTGACTCTAGAATGAAATGTAGGAGCCAGTTTATGAAGGATCTTTCTAAGGAGTGTAAATTTTCCCTGAAGGTCCAAAGTAATCATTGAAGGATATTAAACAAGTGAATGACATGCTCCAAATTAAAATTTGAAGAAGAAGCATTCTAATAGAATTTGGAGAATTGGTTAGAGGTAGGCGAAACTAGGGGCAGATAGACCCTTTAGAAGGCTGTTTCAATAATCCAGGCAAGTAATTATGAGGGGTTAAACCAAGGCAGTAACAGGAGGGATGGAGGCAATAAAGGCGTAGAAAAGCAGGTCTTGATGACTAATTGGATGTGGGCCCTGAATTAGAAGAAATCGAAAATAGCTCCCAAGTTTCTGGCTCTGGCAATGTGGTGGAGGGTGGTACCATTCTCCAAGATGGGAAACAGAAAAGGAGTAATGGGGGTGGAGGGAAGAGGAATGGATGATGAGTGCAATTTTGAACATATTGATCTGGGTAGAGAGGTGAAAGCTGAATAATGATTTGAGGCTCCTCAAATACAGAGTGGAAGTCATGGGAGTAGTGAAGATCACCCAAGGACATAATGGAAAGTGAGAAGGGAAGAAGCTGAGGGAGAGCACTCATTGTTAAAGACAAAGTGGATGAAGAGAACTCAACAAAGGAGACTCGAGATAACCAAAGGAGACATGGGAGTGGTCAAGAAAGCCAAAAGGAAACAGAGTTTGGAGAAGGGTGGCGTGATCAGCTACATCCTATGCTGCAAAAATCAGTCCTATAAGGAGGACTAAAGAAGTGTCATTACATTTAAAACCACGAAGGTTTCTAGTAACTTGGCAAAGAGAGTTTAAACAAAGGGATAGGGCAAAATGCAAATGGAGCTACACTTGGGTAAAGAGGGCAGTGAGATAGCGTGTACCACTCTTTCAAGGAGCATTTTAGGGAAATGAATATTTATTTCATATGTCACTTTTGATAACATACATATTTTCTTTACTTCTGACTAAAAATATTTCCTTATTAAACAGAAGAAACTGCACATAAATATTTCTTTCTAAGGGTCATCATTATGAATATTCACACTTTAAAAAATTTTAACAATAATCCTGAATAAGATGGAATTGCTGTGATTTTCTAGTAGGTGTTTCTGTTGCTCCTCTACAATTGTCAGCAGTCAGTTCTCAGCAGCTATCAATCAGCCAGACTCTGGGAACCCTGATGTTCTATTCCTAATCTGCTGTTCATGTTAGCCTAGAGCAAGACTCAGTGTTGCCAGAAGTGACTGATCTGTTTTTAGACTAACCTCTTGATACTGATGTTTAAAAATACATCAATACACTCTAATCATGAGGGTAATTCAGTTCTTATTTATGGAGTGAAATGGTATAATGTGACCAATTTCTACGTCTCTAACTATTTTTTGCTAACCTCTACGCATGCACATTCCACTCTTCCGTGACTTCAACTCATTCATTCACTCCCTCATTCATCCATGCATTCATTTATTCAACAATTATTGACCATCCTAGGCAATGGTGATAAGAAAATGAATGTGGCCCAGTTCCAGCCCTGAGTAAGCCACTGCCTTGTAGAGACACTCACCAAGTAACAGATAATTACTGCCCAGCCTGAAAGGGGTATAAAGGGATAGCAAAGTGGATACTGTCAGAATACATGCCATTGCTAAAAAGCAACATGCTCTTTCTCACCCATCATTTACACACATTTTTCCTCTGCCTGGAATTCTCCCCAGCTCCTTATTCTTCTGGAAAACTCTATGCATTTTTTTTCATGTTTCAAATCAATTTTTTCCCTCTTAAGCATCCCTGACATTACTCCTCTATACCTAGTAATATGCAAGTTTCAAAGCCAGAAGATTTGTTGTCGAAGTACTTCAAAGACAAATGAAGATGAGCCTTTTCTTGCCATTTTAAAATGTAGGTTTTATGATTATTCAGGTATGATGAGACAAACAGATCAGGAGACAATTGCCATTGAAAAGGTAGTTTGTTTCTCACAGTTGCAGAGAGGGGAGGGCATGCCACACCACATAGGGCCGCACAGGGAAGAACCAGGGTCAGCCAGCAGGCAGACGGGGGTGAAGGGAAAATGTGGGCATGAGCCTTTATTGTGGGTTTCTCAGGAAGAAATAGACAAGCAGGGTAAGCAGGTTTAGGATTCGCTAGTTTGAATAACTTCAGCAGCTCTGTACCTGGCCCTGGGGTGATTAGGGCAGGGGAATAGTGGCCTTATCAGAGCCCCAGTAAAGGAAATGGTTGGGGTAAGGGCTTTGTATAAGTTGGTTTACATATGAAAGGCACACTTTCAGGAAGGGTAGTCTATCCTGGGTCAACAAAGCTCTAGGATGTTAAAGCTTCTGTACTAAAAGCTACGCTTAATGCAGTCACTATACTGACCTTCCTCTCAAAATAGTAACAGCAGCTACTAACAGTTTGAATATCCCTTATCTGAAATGCTTGGGACCAGAAGTATTCTGGATTTTAAATTTTGTCAGATTTTGGAATATTTGCATATAAATAGTGAGATATCTTGGAGATAGGACTCAAGTCTAAACATGAAATTCATTTATGTTTCATACACACTTTATACACATAGCCTGAAGGTAATTTTATGCACTATTTTTAATAATTCAGTGCATGAAACAAAGTTTGTGTTAAGTACTTATGTGCAGAATTTTCTACTTGTAGTTTCATGTTGGTGGTCAAAAAGTTTGGATTTTGGATTTTCAGATTAGGGATGTTCAACCTGTAGTTAGGTTTGGCCTAAATAGCTATTTAGTAGCTACTATTTTATTATTTATTTATTTATTTAAGTAGCTACTATTAGAAAGGTCTAATTTAGTATTTAGACTAAATTAGATATTTCTTTTTTCCTTCCTGCTTACCTTCCTCTCTCCTCCATTCCCTCTCCCTTCCTCTCTGTACCTCTCTTTCTCTGTCTCCCACTCCTTTCTTTCTTCTCCTCTCCTGTTTCATCTCTCTCTTTCCCTTCTTCCCTCCTCTCCGCTCCTCTCTCCCTTCTCTCCCACTTTTTCCTCCCCCTCCCTTCCATCTATTCTTCATTTCAACAAATATTAACCCAATGCCTACTAAGGGCCAAGCACTATTCTAAGTGCTTATTTTATCACATAGTCTTCACAGAATCCTGGGAAATAGGAAGTACTAGTCTTCTTTAGTAGATGAAGTAACTGGGCATAGAAAGGTCAAGGAACTTCCCAAGGTCACACGGATCACAGGCAGCAGATTTGGTGCTCCAAATGTCTGTCTGGTTTACATGTCTAACCATTATTCTAAATATACAATACAAGCTATCACACCTCTAAAAGTTTAAAATATTTGAATCTAAGTACCATCCACCTACCAACTTGAGAAATGAACTGGTTTGTAAGTACTTGGGAAACTGCAATGACACTTCATCCATTCATGTAACAGATATGTATCTGAGCATCTGGTTTCCAGATAAGTTCCATTATTTGACATTAAGGAAGTACTTAATCTCTCTAAGTCTTAGTTTCCTCATTTTTAAAATGTAAATGTTAATGTTAACCCTGCTAATACAAAAAGCTTCTTCTGTAAATCAAAGTGGATGATCCAAAAATATTTTGCAATTTACCTATGAAGCGTATATAATTCCTAGGCCTTGACCCATGGCTGACAAAAATATACAGTCAGCATTTCAAAGCCCGGTGGTTTCTGAGTAATAAACTAAATATTTGCTGTTGATAAACATTCAGTTAGACATTCTTGTCCTAAATGATATGCCAATGGTACAATGCACTCCTGGGTATTAATTCTTTGTCAAAATCATATAGGTTCTAATTATGGGGAGGAAATTCAAATATTAATTTTATCCTAGTAAAACTTCAAATCTTTTTTAATTTGCAGGTCAGGGCTATATGTGGGAAGCATGGATTACATCTGACTTTGAGTCTGCTGGAAACATTGCTTAACCATCAAGATTTGGGTTACCAAGATGAAATAAAGTAAGTTGAGTTTCGTTACCCCCTCCAAATTGATATGGTAAAGCATAACTCCCAATGTGATGGTATTAGGGGGTGGGGCCTTTGGGGAGGTAACTAGGTTTAGATGAGGTCATGTGGGTAGAACCCCCATGATGGGATTGATGCCTTTATAAGAAGAGGAAGACACTACAGAGTTTCCTCTCTCTGCCATGTGAGGACATGAAAGAAGGCAGCCGTCTGTAAGTCAGGAAGAGGGCCCTCGCCAAGAACAGAATCTGCCAGCACCTTAATCTTGGACTTCCCAGACTCCAGAACTGTGAGAAATAAATGTCTGTTGTTTAAGCCACCCAATCTATAATATTTGTGATAGCAGCCCAAACTGACTAAGACAAATTTTTATTCACATGTTCTTCTGTTAGGATACCAAACACACACTTCTTTAGACTAGAAGTTTTATGTGTAAAGCAATCAATGTCATCATTTGATTAAGTTAAGAAATATTTGCTTTTATTAAGACCAAAGGGTCTTCTTGGCCATAAAAAGACGAAGCAGGATACTTCCACTTTCAGCTATTATAGACTGTCAAGGACTAGATTTACCATTCCACCTTAAACATCTGAAAACTAGAACAAAATGCAGGAAGCAATGGTTTTCAGACATTGGTCATCAAGCAGCATAGAACAGTGATTCCTGAGAGAAGAAAAACAGATGAGGTGAGCACACATTATTGCATAGGAAGGAAGGATTCAAACAGAACTCAGAATTCTCCCTGAGTTGAACAAATAGACTTGGAGTCCAGGAAAGCCAAGGAAATTGGAATGCACAGTATGAAGAAGCAGAGCGGAGAGAAATACCCAGGAGTTCTCCCTGGGGATTTCCAAGAGTTACCCTTGAGCCTTCATGTGAGTACTGGCTAACACACCTATTTGAGGAAACCACCCGAGCCCAGGGAAACACCAAAAAGAAAGAGGTGGAAACATCCTGAGATCTTACATAGGGTTGGGAATAGTCCATGTTTCCACCAGCCAATAAGGAACATTTCCCTAACAGATGTGGCATTGAGTAGAGTCCTTAGAAAGGTATTGTATTGTAGTGGGGACAAATCACCCTAGACAAACTCGACAAGCCTTAAAAGCTCTAACAAAACTTAAAAATGATCAAAATGTTTCTGAGCACCTTAACTACTTCTAAGAACAAAGCCCCTCAATTTCTAAGTTATAAAAAATCTTGAATAATCAACAATATAAAATTCACAATTTCTGGAATTTCTACAAAAATTGCCAAGCAAGAAAAGAAGCAAGATAATCGTGTTCTATTATTACAAGAGAAACCAATCAATAGAAGCAGATTTGTAAACAGCACAGTTAATATATTTAATAAACAAAGATATTGAAAGAGTAATTATAAATACACTTGACATGTTCAAGAAGGTATAGGAAAGCATGAACAGAATGAGAGATATGGAAGATGTAAAAAACGCCCAAATAAAACTCCTAGAGATGAGAAATATAATATCTTCTCCTCTAAAACAAATAATCCCACTCTAATGATGAGAAAAAAATAGACAAATCACAATGAGGGATATTTTACAAAATACCTGACCAGTGATCCTCAAAACTGTAAAAGCGATCAATATATTAATATCAATATTGGTCCATTAATTGTAGCAAATGTACCATACTAATGTAAGATGCTGAGAAAAAGGGAGACTGGGTGTGAGGTATAAGGAAATTCTCTGTATTATCTATAAATTTTTTATGTAAATCTAAAACTATTCTAAAAAATAAAGTTTATTTTTAAAATACAGTGTCTAAAAGAGAAATACTCATGATGGCAGCAACAGAAGATTAAACATGGAGTAAAAAATAACTGAACTTGAAGACACAGAAATAGACACTATTAGGGCCCAGCACAGTGGCTCACACCTGTAACCCCAGCGCTTTGGGAGGCCAAGGCAGGAGGATGGCTTGAGCCCAGGAGTTTGAGGCTACAGTGAGCTATGATCACACCTCCACACTCTAGCCTGGGTGACAGAGTGAGATCCTGTCTGTAGAAAACAAAAGAAAAAATATACACTCCACCACCTAAAATAAAATTCAGTGTGAAAAAAGTGAAGGAAAAATTAACAGAGCATCATTGAGCTTTGTAACATCAGCAGCAACCTAATACATGGGAAGTTGAAGTCTCAGAAGGGGAAGAGAGAGATGGGGAAAAAAAGAATGTTGAACAAATAATAGCTGCAATTTTTCCAAATTTAAAAGACATGGACTCAAGAAGCTCAATGAACTTCAAACACAAGAAATTTGAAATAAACCATACAAAGCTTCATTATAATCTAACTGCTTAAACCAGTGGTAAAGAAAAAATCTTAAAAACACAGAGATAAGCACAAATTACAGTAGCCACCTCCCTTATCAAAGATTTTGCTTTCCACAATTTGTTACCCACAGTCTGAAAATATTAAATGGAAATTCTATAGATAAGCAGGTCATAAATTTTAAATGTGTGATTGTGTGCCGTTCTGAGTAGCATGATGAAATCTCACACTGCCCTGCTTGGTCCAGCCTGGGACATGAATTATCCCTTTGTCCAGCACATTTATTCTGTATGTGCTACTCACTCCTTAGCCACTTAGTAGGTCTTGGTTATCAAATCAATTGTGTTATCATAGCGCTTGTGTTCAATTAACCCTTAATTTACTTAATGATGGCCTCAAAGCTCAAGAGTAGTGTTGCTGGAAATTTGGATATGCCAAAGAGAAGCCATAAAGTGCTTTTTTTAAGTGAAAAATTGAAAGTTCTTAACAAGGTAAGAAATAAAATCATATACTCAGGTTGCTAAGATCTATGGTAAGAACAACTCTTCTATCCATAAAATTGTGAAAAAGGAAAAAGAAATTAGTGCATAATACATACAGGTTTTGGTACTACTTGTGGGTTCAGGCATCCACTGGGGGTCTTGGAATATATGCCCCAGAATAAGGGGAGATGACTGTAATTTCTTTCTTAAATTTTTGGTAAAATTCACCAGTGAACCCTTCTAGGCCCCGTGCTTCCTGTTTTGGAATGTTGTTAATTATTGATTCAGTTTCTTTAATTAGTAAATTAACTTTATCGTCAGAATATACCCAGAATCTGCTCACTTCTCACCCCCTCTATTGTTACTTAGCCACACTCTACCCAAGCGAGCATCATCTTTCTCCTGGATTTCTATAACAGCCTCCTAACTAAACTCTGCTTCTACTCTTGTCCTTAGTTTATGCTCCATTCAGCAGCTGTAGTGATCTATTTACAAACCTAGAACAGTTCATGTCATTTTTCTGCTCAAATCACTGCGAGAGCACCTTATTTTACTCAGAGGGGAAAAAAAATCAAAATTCTTACACAGAGTTCTACCCGATCTGTTCCCCCATCCTTTTTCTGGCTCCAGCTAAAACTGTTCCAGTTACACCATCCTCCTTGTCCTCCTCAAACACACTGTGCAAACTCCCTCCTTAGCACCTATCCTTTGAATGCTTCCTCTACCTGGAATGCTCTTTCCCCAGGTATCCTCATCCTAACTCCCTCAACTTCTTTATTTTTGCTCAAACAGGTCCTTGTCAATGAGGCCTGCAATAACCACCCTTTTTAAAGTTATAGTCCCCAACTTTTCTCCTCCTTAATCTACTCTCCTTTTGTTTTCTTCCATATGCTTATCGACTTCTAATGAATTAGGCAAGTTGCTGATTCATCATGATTATAGTTATTATCTTTTTCTCCCTGATAGACAATAGACTATGGTGCCTTGAGGCAGGCAGGATCTTTGTTTTATTCACTGATATATCCCAAGCGTCTAGAGCAGTGCCTGGCACAGAGTAGGTACTCAATAAATATTTTTGGACTTAAACTGAATTAGGGGAGGAATAGAGTCTCAAAATACTCTCGGGGATGCTGATACATGAATTCTGCCCAGTCCTTAGCTCATGCGCAAATTGAAGGAGACCTTCCCCAACCACCTCATCAAAATCAGATTCCTTGTGCTGTACTCTCTCATAGCACCCAGTTATTTTATTTTCTAACACTCATCACTACTCGTGTGTATGTGTCCACTTAATGTGTACGTAGTGATCTCCATGCTAGCAAGGAGCATGACTGTTTGCCTCACACCATATTCCCAACATCTAGCCCTGTACTTGGCACATGGTAGGTACACAGTGAATATTTGATGAATTCATTTATTCATTCATTTAGCAAACATTTATTAAGTGCCTACTATATACCAAGCACTACTACTCTAGACACTAGGAATATAGATATGAATAAAAACAAAGCCCCCTCTCTCATGAAGCTTATATTCTAATGAAGAAGAGAAACAATAAATAAGTTAGAATATATGGCATATCATATGGTGATAAGAGCAATATAGAAAAATAAAGAAGGATAAAGGTTATGGAGAATATCAATCCACGAATAAATGAATGACGGGGGTAGGACGTTGAGCTTAGTCAGTGAATTTCCACTGTATCAGCTCCAGACATGGAAGTCTCCCTTCTCTAAAACCTTGGGGATGGTTGAGTGAGGATGAGAGGGATGGTTAAGCTGGAAAAGCAGAAAAGTAAGTTAAGAGCTGAGTAGAAAACCAAAAAGTTGAAATTGAGAGTCCCCAAAGGCACCAATATAAAGGGGACAAAAGCAAGTCTAAAAGTTCATGTTATACCTGGTACATAATAGAGAATCAATAGATATTTGTTGATTAAAAATCAAGGTCCAGAACCAAGATTCCAAGAATTGAGAACATGAGACCAAGAGAAAACAGGGAGTAAATGAGGGTAGGCTACTTATTATTCTATCAATATTCTCAGTTCCTCATTGTTTTTGTGCAGATCAGAGAAGCATACAGATTTCTTTATTCACCTATCTTTGACCTTTAAATGTTCAAGGACATCAAAACCATGAGAACCAAAGAATTGCATTTACAAGAGATAAACCTGTTTCATCCTTAAGCAGTCATTGGCTAAAGCTGCTTCTGTTGAATTAAATCCA